CAGAACTATACATTAACCCCTAGACCCTTTTCACATCTGGACTTGACAAAGCATGAAAACCACAGGCGGAATTAATAATATTAATAATGGCCTCATTTCATTTAGGTGAGCCAGTTCCAGAGTTAGAGTGCTTTGTCAGGGTGCTCTGGTATTGTATTGTATTGTCACCCACTGTTATGTCTTACTGGGACACTTAATGGAATGGAGCCATTGTTAATATTACTAGTAAAAATTGTGCTTATCAACATTCAACATTTTAACATTTCTTCTGTGAAAAGAGTCTTCGGAGAGGTTACATTACAAAACGTGGGCATGTGATGATATATGGAAAGTAACTTGAAAGGTGGTACCACTTCTACGTTGATTCACTGATGAGCAGGCTGACTCATTATGTAAATGTTTGTCAATTTAAACTCTAAGAAGGTTTTTGTTAAGCTATGATGCAATACTAAATATGATTATGACGAATCCTAAGTAATGGACAGCGTCACCAAATTGTGGTGATTTAATCATACCAGAGATAATCTTGCATCAGATGAAAGCATTTTGTATTTCTTTTGATTTTTCTGTTCTGCTGCTGCTCAGTTGTTCTTGGCAGCTTGCAGATATGAGTAACTGTGTGAGTGGGAAGCAGCGCATTGCTTAAAAAGAACCTTAATACTCAGGGGAGCTTCTCTAAATATTTGAAGGTTAAATACCTTGATATGTTTATTTATATCATGACTCTTTAAATGATTTGACATTAAATCCCTAACTTGTAATGACTACTATTAACTGTGTGTGGCAGAGAGATACAGGCAGACTGGGTACCCTTTATCAATGGAAAAAAACATGTTCACATTGTACATAAACAGAGGAAATTGTTGAATTTTTCCATAGGATACATGCATGGCTAACCCGTCAGTGAGGCATCCGTTGGGTCAAGAGCTGACTAGGTGACTGGCATTATATCATGGGTGAAGGAAAACCCATTATAAAATGTCTCACTAAAGTGTTGGGCCATCACAAGCTGCCAGAATACCTTCAGTGCTCCTTGGCATAAATTCTTTTTCTGTCTGGTTAAATTCTCCGCTGTCTGTAGATCTGCCAGAGCAGTTGTTGAGCAGTTGTCACGAAGCACAGAGTTTGTATCAGCATCTCTGCATGTAGAAAATATGTCAGTTTAAAGTAGAAGAAGTTATTTTAACAGTATAGTGAAAGTTTTCTAGGTTTATTCTTGTATTTAATTATATTTCTAATCAAGTTCTAATGCTGCAAATAACCCCCCCTTCCTACATTCCACCACCTCTGTCCATGCGTATGTGTACATGCTACAAATTATAGTGGCTTATGCACATATAAACATATGTAATAAGCCATGTATGGCCTTCTGGCTGTCACATCAGATGTCAACCCTGGCAGAGTTGAATGACTTGCAGGGTGGACATTTTGGCTCACTATAGCGTTTGTGATGATGCTTTAGTATGTTTGGATGATCAGTGGTTGCGGAGGGGATCTGTCAACAACTAAGCCTTATCCCACTAATATATTTCGATATTATTGTAACAGATGCTTTCACCATATTAAGCTATGGCAATTCAAATACACTGCCTAATACCAGAACATCTTCACTTTCTTATTAGTCTGTTCCCATCTTATGGAACTTATGGACTTATTTTTATTTATTTATCATTTTCATTTTAATAAAATAGTCATTTTCATTAGTGTTTCATCAGCTACTCACTTACTTAACCAGTTTTAGGAGAGAAGCAGGCATCATGATATCACTGCAGAAAAAACAAACAAAAATATAACTTACATTCAATTATGAATGAAACAGACAGAAGAAAACAATGACAAAATAAAATGTTTTTATTTAAAAGAAGTGGTTGTGCACTAGCACTCATAGCTACTTTTGTATAAAAGTAAAAAAAAAAAAATTAAAGTAGGAGACGTTTTCATAAATGATAATAAAAAAATTGCACGAAAGCTAATCATACGTGGGCGTGACTTACGCGCATGCGCCCCGATACAGACCGTCAGTACATTAAATTAAAATTGCCAAACTGTGTTCCTGTTAAATTCCTGGTAAAATCTGTCATTGTCTTTGCGACAGACTGTGCGTTTACCTACAGTAAAGTTCGTTATTGAACAGCTGGTAAAGATTAACTCGGATTTGCCACAAACTATTTTGGTGATTGTCGTACAACCTTACACACTCTTTGGCTAATGCGCATCATAGGACCACACCACAACTTTACACCACCACTGTAGAGGAACGCGCACTGGATCTTCAATGTTCCGTGGACGTTATTATTAAGAAGGCGGTTTAAGCAACTGTTAGAGCTTAGCTGGGTAATGTAGTTCAATTAAAGCGCAGCGCGCAAAGTTTTGGGTCAAAATAAACCGACAATCCTCTTCAACAACAAACCTAACGGTACTTGAGAAAGCAGGAATATCGCCGGCCAGTTTGTTGTTTTGTGTCATTTAGCTTGTTTAAAGTCATTTGTTTGTGTGTTTGAGTTACAGTGCGCAGCAAATACTATATCCTGCAAGGAGTGACGCCAATTTTCACATACATTTTGTAGATTTGTATCAGAATCAAGAGGAAAGATCTCCGCCGTGGGCATGCTATTTCACCTGTGTTATGAGAAGATACGATGAATAAACAGATTTTAAGATAATATCAAAATCAAAGGATTTTCTCTTCAAAAAATGATGTAATTAGTTCAGAACGATGGTAGAGAATAAATGCGGGGATGTGGAATAGGCAGTAAGCGTAAATACAGGCAATCTATGCAGCATATAATGTGTACTTAAACAAGTCAATAATCCAATTTTGAGTCTTTAAATATTTAAAAAATAAAATAACTGGAACATTCCAAATAACCTTAAGGACACATTATTTTGCGTGTTTTAAAAAAAAACAAGCATTTAAGACTCAGTTAAAACTGAATTGTATGTTAAGATAATGATTTATATTTTCTTGCCTACTGCTGAAATCGGCCCATTTAGTCACGGATATGAAAATGCACAGGTAGGAGATCTATTAATAATAAAGGACTGAAAGACGCGTCTGTGTTCACGGGAGGGAAGAACATTGACTAAAGTCAAAATCAAAATCAAAAACCTAGACAATACATAAACCTCATGACCATGCGGAGAAAACTGCTGGACAAGCGACCATGTAGGCAGCTCCGTTGCGCACACAGCACCTCGGCGCGCTTTGGAGAGGTTTTGGTAACCTTTTTACGCGGATGAATTACCCACATTTCTCAACGCTTCAAGGCGCATTTAAGCACCGACATATGTGTTTTATGCACAAAACAAACACATAGGATGTGCTAGTAAAATGTCCACTTATTTTGTGGCACGATTTAGCCACTTAAGATGCCACCGCCTCGTTTGGCGAGCCCAGATTAAAATTTACGCACCACGAATATGTGGCACTGTCTTAAACAACACAATCTAAGTACTTTAATCAACCTCGTTTGGCACACACTGTACGTGCAATAAAGTACTATAAATCAATGACCACATCAACTGCCCGGTAATAAATAAAAAGGCTTGCCTTATTTGTCCTTTGTCTCGGTTGGCAAGGAGATGATGGTGTCCAAAAATGGCTGTCCTCTATCTAACCTGGCTGATTGTACACAGAGAGTATTATTGTCCTCTAACTCATGGTTAATGTATAATTTGGGCCATATGGCATTTTAAAATCTGAGCCTTTATTTCGGTGGCACTTCGATCTGTGTGGACCCAACTAATGATATTCAATTAGTCATTAAACAGGCCAAAAGACGAGCCTTGTGTGGGTTTTCACATAGGCTAATATTTGCTCGTCAAATATTTCCCTTTGAAACGTTTACAACGCATTTTTATCTGCTGGCTGCCCAAGGAACATCTGTGAGGGTTATTTTAGCCTCCCTCTTCTGGATAAACGAGGTCCCCCAATTGGCCCTTTCCTTGCGCCCATATACGAGTCTATTTGTTCACGTTTTGAAAGAAAATGTAATAAAGAGAGACTGGGTGATGGATTTATGATTTATCAAAAGCACTTTACCATATGGCAGTCGTCATTGGCGCAGATTTCCAAATGTTTGTTTTATGAAAGGAGACCAGAGATCCTTTTAATCTGAGCCACTTAACCTGGGGAAGGATGCTCAAGTCACGTGACCACACGTCTGGAAACATACCAGTGTTGATCATTTAGTTTCTTTGGAAGAATTTGTACGATCATTTTAGCGGGATAACGTGCACCGAAGCAGAAGGTTTAAGGACTGAATTGTGTTGCACTAAAGAAAAATGGCTCGTCTGATACTGTAGAAACTGTATGCAGCCACTGCGCAAAAGGAAAGCAGTCTGAATTCCCAAACTTGAATATTACCATATTTTTTCACTGATAACAGAAGTACACAGACATTCTGAATCAGAAAAACTGAATTTATAAGAATCCAGAGGTAGAAATATTTTGTTTTTGGGGGTCGATTAAATGTGGTAGCCAGGAAATCTAGTAAACTCTTATTTAGGGACTAAAACGTAAAATAAGTGTTACTTTGATGTAGGAATCTTTGGAGGACTCCTACAGAATCAGGCATTTGACCATGACTCAATCGATCTACCTTCCTCTGGATATTGCTTAAATCAAAATGGACTGGACACTTTTCTTGTTTTTGAAAATCCCTTAAAGAAATGAAAATACAAGTGGAATGAAAAGCAGAACGTTATTATATGTCTTCTGCAGCCTAAAGACACTTCGGCAGCACAGACCCACCAATCTGAGGCCCATTTTAGGTCTATAATGCCCACATTCACTTCCAGGCAATATTGACATTTCAGGTAACAGGCCACCACGTCATGTTGAGGTCCGCAGGCCTATAAATGTCTGCTGAAAGGGCGTGATTCCTCTCACTGTCATTCACCAGAGATACTCGGAGTTACCTGGACGATTTATTTTTTTCTCCACAGGCGACGTGGTGTCGTTGCACATTTCGCATCTTGAGCTGCTTTTTTTTTCTGGGAACATTATTTTGTTTTTGTGATCAGTTTTCATCACCAAGGCTGAGAGCAAGCAGGGATGTGCGGAGCAAACGTTGATCTGCCAAATAAAGGTTATTATTTTTACCCTTTTATTAAACTATATTTTTAGGCTAGTATTACATTGTAAGACACCTAATTAAACAGCCTGGTGAGACTTTGCAATGCAATAAGATATGAACTTTAGTAAATGTAATTAACTGTTGCTATGTTTTCAAAAGGGATAAGCTATTTAAACCATTTAATTTAAAAGACAGATTTAAATGTGTTATAATAAGGTGGTGGAAGTGTCAATCAGCTTGGTGGGATGTTTCTCAACGGCAGACCTCTGCCAGAATCCAAGAGGAGGAAAATGATCGAACTGGCCTCGGAGGGAGTCCGTCCAAGCCAGATCTCCAGGATCCTCCGGGTACGCAAAACCCTTTTCTTTTTTTTTTTTTTTTTGCACAATTAACCACATTTAGGCAAGACACGTTGGTTGTTATTGTTGGTTATTCTCACCAACAGGCCAGATGTAGCAAATAAAAACATCACTTCATATGTTCAGAATCTTAGCAAGTTGAACTCACTGCGTATTTCAGGTGTCCAACGGGTGCGTCAGTAAGATCCTGAGCCGCTACCGCCGCACTGGACTCCTGGAGCCCAAGACCATTGGAGGGAGCCGACCTCGGCTTCTCACCCCCGGTGTAATCTCCACAATCATCCAGTGCAAAAGGGAAAATCCAACCATTTTCGCTTGGGAAATTCGAAAACGGCTTGCAGCAGCACGAATATGCAAGGCCTCCAAAGTTCCCAGCGTAAGTGAAATTCCAGTTTTGTTTCCATGAAACTGAAAATGTTCCAGCGTTTGATGATGCTTTTTTTTTTTTTTTTTTTTTGCACACTGTGTTCTGCAAGGTGTCGTCTATCAATCGGATTTTAAGAAAGATCCACTTGGACCATGGGCCGATGTGCATGGAGATCAATGCGCACATCAGGACTGAGCAAGGTAAATCGCCTGTGGAGGTCATTGGATTGCTGAAAATAAGTGAAAGAAGTTATAACTGCCAATTTATGGTCATTATAAGGGACATATAGTTCCCCAAATAACCTAATCTGATGGTTTTAATACCAGTTTATATAATTTTGCATGTGAATTTGCACACAAATAAACTGTAATTCAAAATTTGGGTGATAAACAAAATGTAGATATGAGTTCAAGTAGGTCTGACCAGCATAACAAGCTTGTGTGTGTGTGTGTGTGTGTGTGTGTGTGTGTGTGTGTGTGTGTGCATTGTACAGATTTGGATTCTCTGATTCAAGAAGAAGTGAATAAAAGAAAGATTTTTGAGACAGTGTGCAGTAATGACCAGAAACCTAAAGGTGTCCAGCACCGAAACCGCACCACCTTCACCCCAGAGCAGAGCACAGCACTTGAGCAAGGTAGACTTCAAATCTTTAAAAATGCATCCATGCATGTTTCAGACTAACCCAATTCTTTCTATTTTTTTCCACTCAGAAAAGCACTTAAACACATGTTTCTATCTCCCACTCAGAATTCTCTCAGAGCCAGTATGCAGATATGTACACGAGGGAGAAGCTGTCAGCTGAGATCAAACTTCCAGAGGACACCATCAAGGTAGACTCATCATTTTCAGCCATCAAAATGCTCAGAATCACACATTCAGTCGTTCTGCTATTGAGATGATTATCTGTCTCTCAAAGGTCTGGTTTTCAAATAGACGGGCTAAATGGAGGAGGGAAGCCAAACACAGGAGTAGCACACAGAGTAAGTGTATTTGTTTGTGTGTGTGTGTGTGTGTATTTGGATTCAAGTGTTCAAGTTGAGGCATACACAGATTTGGCGAAATACTATATCTCAACCTTGACTAAATAAATTAAACTGAAGAAAAAGGCAGAAGCTCTTCAGCACATGTCCGTTCACACCTGACAGTTATTTGACAAAATGTATTTCTCCACACCTACAGACCTTCAAAAGCAAAGAGATCTTGTTCCTGTGAATCCACCAATGCCGCACACCTTCACATCTCAACAGGTACAGTGTGAATTAGCACTTTGTGAGACAAACTTTAAAGCCCCTGAAAACCTTTTGAAACAGAACACTTTTGGTTGTTTCAAGTGAGATATTACTTTTTCTCTCTCTCTGTGCTCTTCTCACTGGTTAGACATGGACGATGAAAAAGGCGATATGACATATTTTCATGCGCCAATCAGCATTTAGCAACATTTGAATGCAGTTGGTGGGTTGTTTGGTCAATCAAATCTGATCAAACCGCACCCACGCAGTACTGGTGAAGCAGATTAGCTTACTTTTTGACTGTTAAACTAATTATTAATAAATAATACCTTTAGAAGATACTTTTTTAAGGCAGAAACATATAGTCACATTTGGAATATCTGTGTTGATTTGAAGGCAACAGGAGTGTCCAGAGTCCGCTGTGAAAACTCAGATGCCTCCCCTACATACAACACAGTTGCTAGGAAGTTGCAAAATGGCTACTTCTTCCCTTCAGAAACAGGTACGATCCTGCAAAATTAAATCAGTGGGTCAAGTTTTTGTTTTGTTTTATTGTCTAGATTTTAAAATGATTAAAATGTAGCTTAGTCACATTGAAGGTAGTAGTGAGTCTATATGCTGTATGTGTAAATGTAAGTGCAGCTACAATGTGTAATGTAAAAGTTTGAGAAAGAAAACTCATTATTCTATTCCTTCAATCGGATATACAGGTATGGGGAATTCTGAACATCTGGCATCCATCTCAGTCCCACCCTCATTCCTCCATCAGTCTAATAACACGATGGCGCAGACCATGACAGACAGGACTCCACTGGATCTCCACAGAGATAGATTCACATTCCCACTGGTTCACCATCACGCCGATGCAAGGACATCCCTCCCTTTGGCAACTGAGACAATAAGAACAGACCGCCCTGTGACTCAGTGCTGGAACCAGCAGGATATTTCTTTTACTTGGAGCCAGTTTCCAACAGATGAGAGGTTTCTGTTTGCACAGCAGCCCTGGGATGTGAATCGATACCTGGACTAAATGTGTGATCACAGTCATAACATTTGTGTTTGATGTGCAGGGTTGAAAATGCATGTAATTCTCACTGCATCAGTTTCTAGACTGGAGGGACACATTCTAACCACCAGAGGGCGACAGAGAACTGGAGTTACAGTCTTGTCCTTTACCCTCACGCTGCAGATTCACTCATCACCTTTCCTTTCTTATGCTTGAATTGCCATTAAAAAAGGAGAAACATAGAAAGATCTGAAAGTATGTTTATAAATTCAAAGTCCTTGTCGTAATTTTTTGATTGGCTACATCATAAAATCTTATTGTATTTTAAATGAATCCACTAAACTGACCTGTAAAGAAGAGAACATGAATGCAACTGTATAACACATAAAGTGCTGAATAAAGCTGGACAGATAATATGATAATACATAAAAAAGGTGGTAATCAGTTTTATTTATGAGAGTTTCCATGAAATAAGTTGCTATATGCCGATGTGTTATTAGGCCAACAGGTTCTGTTTGAAAGGGTGTAGATTTTAGAGGGTACGTTTAGTCCTAATAGAGAACAATAAAAGAGAAATATTTGGGTATAAGAGCATAACTTTAACTGGATTCTCTACAGTATATCTGGTCAGTTATGTACTATGATTGTAACATAAATCATAGCTCCATGGATCATTTAAGGTTACCACTAGATAATATGGATGTTATCTCTTTTATAGTCTTGGGCTTGCTGTTTGCTTAAATGCAGAAGGAGGTTCAGGCGTTCTTCCAAAAATTTCTTTCCTTGGGAGGCCAGTGGGAAAATCTATAAAAGTATAGCTTCAAAAAGTCTAAACATGACCTGATATCTGCTCCGCTCGGTATCAGTTTTTATGACTGCAACAGGGCAGAGGCATTGAGTTCCTTTATATCCCTTTACTACAGTGAAGAGACGGTAAGACTCGGAGTTTCTCGATAATTGGTCAACGGGGGAAAGGTTGGGATCAGAAGGCAAACAGCTTGGCCAGCAGCATGGAAGTCGCCTACTGGCAAAATGACCTGTCGGAATTTACTGCTATGAAGCCAGATAGGCAAATTACATCTCCACATGACAGTATGCGTTTGAATTGTGATTTCTACTGAATGCGGCTCATCTGTATCTGTATCTTTTAAATAGCTTTTGTTCAGCTATTGAAATGGGAACATGATATTTCTCCTCCAATACATTTCAGAGGCAAATGCTGCACTTTTTTACTTCACTACATACATTTAGATCACAGATCAAGGTTTTACATGATGGAAAAATCACATCATATGCTTATAAAATAATATACATCGTTCTCAACCTTTTTGGCCGGTGACCCTTTTAACAAAAAAAGCAGTGTCTAACTGTGGCTTTCTGACATGCTCCACATGGTTGCTTAACTGTTCAAGTTTCCAAGATGTAAAATGATCTAATGTTTCCAAAAAAGCGCAGATTAAAGTCTAAAAATGAATAAAGATTTGTGTAGCAGAACTTTCTTTTTTTCCAACCCCATTAATCATCTCACAACCCCTCAGACTTATCTTATGACCCTTTGGAGGGGCCTGACCACTAGGAACAACCGCACTATATAAAGCAGTTAAAACCAGCTCCACTTCAACCAACTACAGCAGTAAAATGCTGCTTATGCATTAAGGCGTCACTATTAACAATCTAATGTCACATATAACTATATTGTGGGAGATAAATGTTTAAGATGGGGTAGTAAATGTATTTTGTTTGTTTAGGGGACTTGATCCATCACACTGGGTTCGTAATTCTTCAGAGAACTAGCAACTCTCAATATTTTGGAAGAATTTCTCCTATGATATCAACACAGTAAATCTTTCAGCTCAACAAGTGCTTTTATTTTAGATATTTTAATTTTGCTCAAAATAATTCTGTACTTTTACTTAGAATTTTGAGTTAAGGACTTTTATTTACTTTATTTATTTATTTATTTTTACATCTATGTATCGCTTCTTTTACTGAAGTAAAAGCTCTGAGTACTTCTTGTATAGCTTTTACTTCAATAAAATAATTTGACAGAAAAATGAATCTTACATTTGGAACATTATCTCATCTCACATTGAGCAACCAAAAGTTTTTAGAGCTGCTGAAAGTTCATCCAAGTTCAATTGTTTCTCACTTAAGCCTGGGATGGACAAATTTGTTATCCGAATGTTTAAGACATGTTATTATTTATCTCCTTCTGTGGTTATATTGATGACTGTGGTTGCTTTCAGCCACTTAAGAATAGTTATCATTCACTAGTATTTGCCTCTCTGAATGATTTAGGGAGTAAACTGCCAAAAACTGAGCCAAACCAATTCTAAGTGTGTGTTGCTGCCTTTTTCCTTTAGACATATCACACATGGGAAAAGCCAAGAGAAAGAAACTAAACGTGGCCGAATGTAATGTCAAGTTGTTTATTAAAAAAGGAATAATACAAAGGCTACAGAATTCAGAAAAGGTCAGAGATATAAAACAACTCACTACAGAATTCAGAAAAGGTCAGAGATATAAAACAACTCACTAACACAAAATAGCAGCTGTTATATTTAAAGTTTACAGTTTACAAACATATAAACAGAATGATCATGAAGTAAAAATACTTAAGTATGCTATTTACAAAAATTACAAATTGTAATTTACACAATGCTCTGGGCTATTTACAAAAAAGGTCAATTAAATAACAGTTACATCGTCATAAGAGCACAGAAAACTGATCAATAACCAATGTAATGTTTGGTTTCACCTCTCTTATATGTCAGTTGTCTTAAATGAAACTTTCTCCATTTAAATTTCTACTTCATAGACTTTGTAACCTTTGCAAGGCTATTAGAGGACTCCATTTGTACAAGTAAGGCCACAGATATAATTTAATTATATGCAGTTTTGGTCTTTAAAACACTTGAACCGAAGGGGAAATGATTCACTGACTTATGGGAACCTGCAATTCATTGCATTAAAGCCTCTAATAACAATATTTGTTCCTTTATTGTTATGTAACATCTTCCATGTGATATTCAGTCATCTTAAAGCTGAGAATAGAATACATAGTTTAACTCTTGTGTAGGAGCCACACAAACAAAAAATGAGTGGGGCTGTAAATGCATAAATTAATGGGGAATTGGGGCCATTTTGGCATCATTTAGGGCATTTAAGTTTAGGCATCATCTGACTTTTAGCAAATGTTTGCTAATTTATTGTTTGTGCATGCGTGTTTGTGCATATGTGCACAGTAAATGTATGTTAAACTCGGAATAGAACAATGTTAATTTAGCCCACAACAAGCACTCTTGAATTAAAACGTTAAACCATATGAGCCATACTGCCTGCGTGATACTTTATGTTTGTGAGGCTATTATCCGTGAGTCAAACATGCAGTTATTATGGGCTCATAATTACTCCTAGAACAAAGAAACAAAGATCTAAATATCAAACCAAAATCTGGATTCTTTTCAAGCGATGTCTGCTAATTTAAAAAAAATAAATACACCTAACTACTAATTACAAGCTACCAGTCTCTTTAAATATTAAACATAATTAGAGGCACGAAGAAGCCAATCTGACATTACTCAGTGAACCAAAAATATTCCAGATCTATAAGACCTATAAAATCTTACAGCACAGCAGAAACATACTCAATAAATCTGCAGTTATGTACATAAGGAGTCACTTTCCATGAAATAAAAAAAGTATAAAATATCCTACTGACCACACACAGCCCACCAGGGGCCAAAGTTCCCTCCAAACTGGAGACCAAATAGCCATGTTATATTTGGCATGGCACTTCTCTCTCTCATGCTACAAATATTAGCATAAGATTTGGAGCAGTTTGCTCAGTCCTACTTAGACCCTCTCTCTGGGAAACTAACAGTTACAGCTAACTGGGGAAAAGGTAGTGCAGCTACTGCACACAATTAGCACTGCATAGTTTGCCAAGGCTGCTGCAGTTAGCTTTTCAAGCAGCAGTTTTATAAACTCACCTACTGATAATGTCGGAAGCCAAACTTTAACCTTTGCTGGACTTTCAGACTTGGCTTAATCACTATTTTCTCATAGGGACTTTTAGTGTCTCTAACCTAATAGTGAGTTTATAATGACCTTTCCATGCTTTTATTTTCCTCTGTTTGTGTATTACTATAGTTTTCTGTTGGGTTATTTTAGTAGCCGAATAACATTTTTCACAGATATTTGAAAGGTATCCTAAAATTTATGACCAAATAAGTATGTTTGTTAACATAGGAATAAGGAATAAGATTATTATCCATCCACATCACTTGTGTTGGAGGTAAAAAGATATGTTTTGCAGTCCAGGTCAACACATACAAAGTTCAAAAAGTCCCAGTCGCATTACCTCATGTGGTAACCACCAGAGAACTAGGTTCTGTCCATATTCAAGTATATTCCAGGAGATAATACTGATTCACAAGTGTCATTCTCGTTGTCTTTGCATGGCTTCAGAAGTTCTGAACATGTCAAAATACAATTAGTAAGCTGTCCATGTGCCCGAGACTTTGGTTGTAAAAAATGATATTAAGGCTAACAACCTGGATGTCTTCTTTAGCAAAGTGGAGGAATGGTTGAGATTCCATTTGGTTTATCCAGTCTTCCATCACTAATCTCTGTCATCTCTGTAAAATGACAAATTTAGCCACAAAATCCCCAAATGGCCACTTTCCACAAGGTGATTTTCCTAATTTCTCCTCCGTGGTCCCTGCTGGAGAGGTCTTGGAATTTGTTGGCTCAAAGCCGCCCCCTCCTTTTTCTCAGGCTGTGGCAAAGTCCTGTATGGAGTTGATTTTCACACCACATCCTCAGTTCCTCTCCAAACTGGGGTAAAGTTTGAACACTTTGTATATCCACTCAGAGTAGAAAGCAACATTAACAAAAAGCGCAGGCTGTGATGAGGCGCATTTTGTCCTTTGGATGCTCACACCGATGATGACTTTGCGCTCATGTTCCTGGCAGACCAATGGACCACCATTGTCTTTCTACAAAAAAAGGTTAGAGAATGACACATCAGAGAGACACCCGGCTGACAAGGACGTGATGGGTTGTATATGTTCAAACTAACCAATTCCATTTCACACAAATTACAAAAAATGGCTATTTGGCTATCTCTTTCATGATGTAGACATTTATTTCTGATCCTTACATCACATACGCCTTCTCCTCTCTTGCCGCCGGCACATATTCTGCTTTCCCCAGCATCACCTTTGATTTGTGAGCACATGTCATTGTTGACCATAGGCATGGTCACAGCATTCAGTGTCTCATCGTATCCTGTATCTGAACAGAGAAGAATATGCAGCATAATTGTCAAATGTTTCAGATATTCTTTTGGTTTGAATGATGGTTAAAATGCGAAGTATTGTGGCATATGGGTGA